TATATATATATAAGAAATATATGTATATATTTCTTATATCAAGATGAAACGTCTCCTGGTGTGACTTGTACCCGTTGCCTCTTGTCCTCTCCACTTGGCTCCTTGTGAAGAGAGAGCCTCTGTCCTTTTTGTGGCCGCCTGTCATGCTTTATTAAGAAGGAGAAGCAGTAGTTAAAAGTCTGGTGTTGCTTACAAGCTAATGCGCTGATGATACGTAGAGTGTCTAAAAGCACTGTGACATTTTAATGATTTTTTTTTCTTGAACTTAACACTTTTCTGTTTTCTCCAAGAACTTCTTAGCCAGAAGTGATAGATTTGAATTACAGTTAACTTCAGCTGATGGAGAAATACAAATTTTCCATATGAAAGAAATCATCTAACTATTTCCAGTATGTCCTGTCCTCTACAGGAAAAAAGTCAATTTTGTATTTCATGTGGTCATCTAGCTCATCTCCTCTCATTTTTCTCACTGCTGCTTAAGAGTTCTGTGGTATCTATGAGATATGATATAATCCAAACCACTAAAAATAAATTTCAGAAAGCCCAATGTCTTGGCAATTGCTCTCAGTAAGAAACACAGGTACCTAGAGAGAAAATACAACGTACTGAAGAGGGGTTGCTTTGTTTTGGTTATGGTGTAGAGCTCATCTCCTTGACATGTGATTAATCTTCATAATTATATACATGTGTGTAGGTTATGTATCAAATTACAGCAACCATAAGAAGAATAGAACCAGGTGTATCATGATCTTCCTGTGCTTGCAGAGGTCCTGAAATTTACAACTAAAGCTGGTCTTTTTAAGATACTTATACCTTCTTTGATTGTGTCATTCTGTGGTTGCCTAATTTGGCATATTTGCAGTATTCCATGAAAATGATTATATTTATGAAAACTTTCCTGCAGCTGTGTCTTGTTCTGCAGTCAAACTTGCCTGCAATCCAGACTGGTTTAACTGGATTTCAGAATATGCCTGCTTGGTAGCTCTAGAACAAATGGGACAAAAGCCAGAATTCAACTTCAGCTAGGTTCAGAGGAAACAAAATTTTAATGTGATGAGAGAGGCAGTCTCCAGAACAGTGCAGTAGAAGGCCTGGGTAGAAAAATTACAAAAATGCATTGTTAACTCCATCCAGAGCTGTGTGTGTTTTCTGGGAGGCTGGAGACGGAGCAAAGCTTCTGTGCTCCATTACTGGACGATGCTGTGGATAGTCCGGAGAATAGGTATCTTTTCGAAAGCAGACAAGGATGAAAAAGCAGTTGACTTCCTTCTGTGTATTATCTGGAGTTCTGTGCATTTTTATGGAGGATAAAGGAATAGAAATTAAATATTTAATAAAATAAAGGTAACTGGCTTAAATCATCTTTGCTTTAGTTCAAGAGTCTGGTCCTCACGCTCTTAAGACCTGATAGCCCTAAAAGACAGAGCAGTGTTTTTATTTGGGGAACTGGTTAGAATAGAAAGTGAGAGATGTAATAGCAGTGACCTTGTGATCTTACTACATCATTAATCAATATTCTAAAATCAGTGTTGCAACAGCTATAGTTAATGTGAATCACTTGGGTGTGGTGAACGGTTGGCCCCAGTCCAAAACATTTATTTTTCTTTCCACCAGTTCTCTTGTAGCCTACTAATAGCTCATCTGGGGACACTGCTGTGTACAGCTCATGGTCCAGGGGAGAAATGTCTCACATAAAGGGAAACGGCAGTTTGGCTGGTTGGATTTATTTATTTATTAAGCAATACGAACAAACAAACCCAGAGGAACAAATCATGAACTTAGCTATAGCTCATCCTGCATCATTTAAACAACTGGCTTTTCATTGACCATAAAATGGCCTTTGGTATTTTTGCTTTTATGTGGTGTATTGCATTGGAGTAACAAGTGTTTGGACCTTTTATGATTAGCTGACTTGGGCCGTATTTTGCATGAACAGTAGCAATTGTATTTAAGAACCTTTTATTACTCCTTTTTTACAGGAGATGTATGATGAAGAGGAAGAATTTAATAAATTGTAATGGAAACTGAACATTGTAATGAGTTTTTTGTATTCTGGGTGAACAGAACAAAATGTACCTGTGTGGTTTCTGATACGTAGCAGGAGCTACAGTATGCATTACTGGAAAACTGAGGGGTTTATGCAGTTTTTCATTTGTAGTAACTCATAGACTTCAGGGAAGCCCATTGGAAAATGTGATCTTTGTGATAATCTGTAGATGGCCTGTAATGCATCATTGAAATGCCACTAATGATATTGCTAAACATCTAATTGATCAAACATTGTTCTTCCTATGCAGAAGCTTCAGTATGAGGCGGGGTGGATGGCGGAAACGGGCTGCCGATGGCGATGGCTGGGGAATATGGGTATGTTCAAAATCAAATGGCACCTTTCTAAAAAAAAAAAAAAAAAAAAAAGTAAATGGCACTGTAGTTAAAGAGGGTTTAAAATTTTGTTATATATCCTAAAGTTATGATATAAATTAAACCCTTCTGCTTCATTTGAAAACACATCATTAAGTTCAAAGAAAATTTTTTAAATTAACAGGTTTTGAAGTCTTCATTGACAATAATCCACTAAATTGCATTATTAATAAGTGCAGACCCTTGAATAGCTTTAAATCACCATTTAAAAACTGAACTAAATAATTTTAAAACTATTTATGGTTGTCACATTCCATATAGTTGGACAAACAATAACTGAGGCATCTAATTTACATAAATATTTACAATACTGCTGTCTCACGATATTTAAGAACTGAAAATACATGCAGCTTATAGAATGTTCTCTACATGGTTCCTTTAGGCAGTGAGCCTACAATTTAGCATCCAAACTTGCATCATTCCCTTTTTTTCTTTTTTCTTTTTATTCTACCAGAATTTTTATTTAGGTAGATTTTTTTTCTTATAGAATAAGATAAAAGAAGCATGAAATAAATCCTGCCATGTTGGTAACAAGATGCAGTTATCTTGTAGATAAGAATTTAGGATAGAGGATTTACTATTTTTCATTTGAAAAAAAAAAAGTGTCTTTTGTATGTCAACCCAAATCAATTTGAAGGAATGCTGCTTACCTTTCCAGTCTTACAATTGACGAGTTTCTGTCTGTGAACGTTAGAAATAAGACTAGCATCATGGGTTTTGTTTTGTTTTGTTTTTTTAACTTAAAAACTAGGGCGGGTACATGTCGGCAAAGGTTAAGAAATTGGAGGATCAGTTCCGGTCAGATTCAGCCATACAGCACCAGAAGGATGGAAATTCATCAAGTATCTTTAGTGGAGTCGCCATCTATGTCAATGGCTTTACAGGTGAAGCTTTTACTTTTTTAAGGGTCTCTTCTGTTTTGTTCTAGTGTCTTGTTTACCATCCTAAGTCTAGTAAGGAACTGTAAAACACATGAGTTTGCAGCTAAGTAAATACATAACAACTACTTTACGTGTTTTGTATCTTATGCTCCTTTGTATTTCATGATTAAAGTTTTCAATATAAAATCAGATTTAGGTTCCAAATATAAATATTACTTTGCTAAATCATTTACATGAATGGTCGCTGATAGAAATAGGAGTAAATTTTCCACCTTTCTGTGTTTATTATTTGAAATTAAACCTTTTAGCTTCCTCCCTACTCCTGCATATATTAAATTTTTAGTTTTCTGAACTGTTGATGATTGCATTGGATTTGGAGTGTATGCATTAAATTTGTGTGTGGGTAGATATGTTGGGGTTTTCTTGCTCAGAGTGGTGTAATGCTTGAGACAGTGAACCCATTAATAGTGGAAGGAGCAACAAGAGGTAAGACATACACATGCTTTGTCTGTGATGGACTGATAGTGCATATTAACTGGAGTACAATTTTTAATCTACTACACTTACATTCATATTTCTCCTGGGTTCTGTAAAGCAGCTTAATAACCTTTCTGAAACTTCCCAGAAGCCTTTTTCAGGGACCTGTGCCAGGAATGTTGTGACTATTACATAACTGGTGCGTGCAGCTCTGTGATAGGGAGCAGTGCTGGTTTGAGCACAGGGCTCAAACAGACTGAAAAAGGTTAAGGTGGACATGTTAAACTATTAATACATCTGATTGGTTATTTAATATAGGCAGTTTCTTTAGTGACAATCTGACATTTGCATATTCTTCAAGTACTAGTTCCTAAATAGAGCTCCACAAGATGGCTAGCCAAAAGGCTGGAGTCAGAAGGATAACACTTGGAGAAAATGTGTGCTATTTTTACCTAAAAGTTAGAGGTATGATCAGGTGTTAGAAATATTCTGAGAGCTGACAGTAGGCCACTGGAAGGAATTGTAACTGTATTCTTTAAATCTTCATTCTTGTACTGATTAAACTTTTTTTTAGTACCTTGTGCCAGATTTACTATTCAAAACATTCTGTTTGTGCTGACCCTAAACTTTTGGTGCTAATGTGACACCACTGCAGAGGTTTTCCAAAAACTTGTTTCTTTTTATTTTTCTGCCTCCGCTTGCAAAATAAGTACTCGTTTTAACATGATTGAGGGGATAAGAAGAGATGTTAGTTTTTAAGGTATTCTCTGTTCCCTGTTACAATTCAAGAGTAACCTGGTAAAGGAAAGAGTGAGTTAACTGATTCAGTAAGTAAGAAATTGTATAGTAGGAGTTCCGTGCTGTTGTTAAACCCTTTTGATATTATTTTGTGTTACTTCTGGATATAAACTGCTCTCCCAAACTCTGATGAAAAGGTGAGTTAATCTAATTTTTGTGTTATGTTGATTTAAAATGATTTTTAATGTAGTTTAGCATTATATCTACTTGAGTATTTCACCCCAACACTTCCTCCACCATACATGTCGTGGAAAGAACCTCTATAACAAGTAGAATGTTTACATTTTGAATCAGTCTCTTCAGAGACACAGTTTTCTACGTTTCTTCAGAAATGCTTTTCAGATTTGTTCTTTGCAGAACTTACAAGGTTTTTCAGGAGAAAAACAATGGATTGCACTCTTTCTGATCATGGCATCATATTTCTCAAAGTTGTTTTTCTTACTGTATTTGCTGACACAAAACAAGAATATTTCTGGTTTTAATTTTATAGATCCCTCAGCTGACGAATTAAGACGGCTAATGATGTTGCATGGAGGCCAATACCATGTGTATTATTCCAGATCGAAAACAACTCACATCATTGCTACAAATCTTCCAAATGCCAAAATAAAAGAATTGAAAGGAGAAAAGGTAGTTCGGCCAGAGTGGATCATGGAAAGGTAAGTTTAGGTCTGCTGCTTTTGGAGATTTCTCCAAAAAAGAAGAAAAATCTGGAGAACGTGCATTACAGAAGACTGTATTTTGAGATTATGCTTTTTATTTGAAAGATGTGGCTGTTTTCATTGGTGCCGTTAAAGCTCGTTACAGTTCTAACCAAGTTGGAAAAATCGATTTGTATACATTCAGTAGAGACTTGATAGAACCTGGTGTATGATATCTCCTAAAATTTTCCCTTGTGTTCAGGTTCTACATCTCCTGGTTGTGGAAGGTTGTACTGTAGAATAAGTCAGAAGAAGTGAGTATAGACAGATACAAGGGGCTGGGCACAATGAGACAAGGAACTCACTGTCTGGTAGAACAGGGTTCGTGTCAGAATCCGGAATAAAAGCTAATTTCACAACAACCCCTCATTTTTTTCCCTTCCTCTCAACAGTATTGAAAACCACTAATTGGTTAAATACTCCATCTCTGGGCATGAAATACCAAATTACGTTCTCATCAGTAGGTCAGTTGGTGAAAATCAGTGCAGTGGATGTAGAGGTTCCAAATTTGTTGAATTTTCATGTGCACATATTAGTACAATACAATGGGTTTGGGTTTTTTAGTTTGTTAAGAATTAACCCTAAAATGTTACTGTCACAAATTGCTGGTAAAGGAGTGTTGTTAGACCTTCAGTCTTGTCGTCTAAGGTTGCAAAGTGAAAAGGTCGTTTGTCTGTGGAGCTTTGATTTATTTCTTTGTGTGCACACATTATGATCTAGTCCTTAATTACATGATCACATGCCACCTTTTTTCACCATGGTACCTGCCACATTCTCTTCACAGAAAAGATTGAATTCAGGTTGCAAATTGTTAATTCAGTGTCTTGTTTTTTGCTTCTTGTCTCTGTAACCCTGTTCCTTACTTACTGCATGTGACTCGAATTCTTTGCTGATAATGGAATGAATAATTAATTCCTGTCTTTCATTGGTGCTTATCACTATAGCATCTCTCTGCTTTCCAAAGATTAATGAACTTACCATGGCACTTACTGCAGTGGCTATTATTCTCATTTTTTATTTGAGAGCCACCAAAAAGACAGTAAGGTAAAACACCAAAAATGTCAGTAATTTGGAATATGCCATGTGGACTGTGTAAGCCAAGATTTTTCAGACTGACTTACACAAGGATGGTAAGACATACGTTGAAGTTTATTGCTGCATTAAAACCTTTGTGTGTTCTGAACTGTGAACATTCTGAATTATGGTCTAAAGTCAGACTCTCATAAACCTGTTGTTAAATACAAGTAGCTCTAGAATTTTGGTTTAATTAGCATCACATAGAGACCCTGTGGTAACAGTGGTTGCAAAATCCAGTATTGCAGAGTAATGTATAGTTGCTTTAGCAACAGAATAATTCTTTCTGCACTCCCCTTGTTGCACATTTTTGCTACCTCTCAATTTCTCCAAAAAATGAAGGAAGAGACTTGCAGGGAGACACCTCCTTTTTACATTTTTCCTTTATTTGAAAAACACATGACACAATTGTGTAGCTTGGAAATGTTGTTGTGCAGCGTCCAGTGGAAGCCAAATTAAGGTGATCTGAGAGCTTCAGTTTGAAATGTGAATATTCTTTTAACAAACATTCTTTGATATTTATAATAAACTCACTTTTCAGAAATTGAGGATAACTAACCACTGAAATGACCTACCAGTAGAATCTGTGGATTCCTTATTTTGATTTTCAGATTGAGTGAATGTTTTTCTTAAAGATCTGTGTTAATCTAAGACATATGTGAAGAAAATAGTTTAATTTTAATTCCCTCAGAAAATAAAAAAATTAGTCTGGTACATCACACTTAATCTCTTTTTTTCTGGTGAGAATTCAGAATGCAAAATCTTTGAATAAATAAAAGCTACCAGTCTTAAAACAGTACAGCTTTCAGAAGAGATGACACATTACATTAATGCAGTAACTTTTTTTGGAAACTAGCAAAGCACTGAAGGAAAAGGAGGTGGCTTTTGTAGCTATATTAGAAGCAAATGGAGCAGGCCTGCTGTTGAATGGTAGGGAGACCTCATGACAAAGGGTATGGAAAAAATTGAGGTACTCAATACTGCCTTTTCTTCAGTGTTTAATGGCAAGGTCTACTTTCATGCCTTGAAGGCCTGTCTGCCTGGTGGCAGAGTTTGGAGAAAAGAAATGCAACCAAAGGTATAGGAAGTGTAAATTGTGGTTCACTTAAGGAAGCGTAACATATGCAGCTCTGCAGTACCAGATAGAATGCATCCAAGGGAGCTGAAGAAGCTGGCTCATAACCATTGCTACACCACTCTGTTGTCTTTCAAAATTTGTAGCAATCAGATGAGATTTTCCAAAAGACTGGATAAAAGGCAAATGTCATGCCTGTCTTCAGAAAGGGAAATAAGAAGGATGCAAGGAGCTGCACTGTGATCAGCTTCACCACAGCTACTGAAGACTACGGAAGATCCCTTCCTGGAAGCTGTATCATGGTGGTAAATCATGTCTGACCAGTGTGGTTGTATTCTGTGGTGAGATGACCAGATGATGGAAGAGCAGTAGAGATCGTTTGCTTTGACTACAGTAGGGCTTTTGACACAGTCCCCCATTGCATTTTTTTTAGTCAGACTGGGGAGATACAGATTGGATAGTGAGCTGCCAGTTGGGTGAAGAAGTGGCTCAACTGCGTGGCCCAGACAGTAGTGGTCAGCAGTTCAGAGTCAAAGAAGCAGATGATTACAAGTGGCATTTCTGAAGGGTCGATACTGGAGCAGATGCAGTTTAGTGTCTTTGTTAAAAGTGTGGACATGGGTGATGCAGTGGCAAGGACCTTCAGCAAGTTTGTGGATGACAGCAAATAGAAGGGAACAGCTGATATACTGGAGAGCAGGGCTGCTCTTTGGTGAATCTCAACAAACTGGAGGAATGGGATGACAGGAACTTCATTAAATTCAACAAAGTCAAATGCAGAGTTCTGTGTATGGGACAGAATTAAATTACTGCAATCAGACAAGCTAGGGACTCACTGGCTAGGACACAACCTTGTAGGGAAGGACTGGAGGGTCCTGCTGGACTACAGGTTGACCATGGAGCAGCAGTTGTGCCCTTGTGGAGATAAAGGCTAACAGCATACTGGGTTGTATTAGCAAGACTATAGCCAGCAGGTCAAGGGAAGTGATTCTTCCAGTCTGTTTGGCACTTCTGAAGCTACATCTGGAGTTCTGTGTCTGATGTTGGGCTTCTCAATACAAGAAAGATACTGACAAATTGGAGTGAGTTCAGAAGAGAAAAACCAGCATGAACAGGGGCCTAGAACATGTGATATATGACAAGAGGCTGAGGAAGCCTTTAGTTTTGTTTTGCTCAGAGAGAAGTCTAGGAGGGGATGTAATTGTTATCTTTCATTATCTGTATGTAGGTTACAGAATGCATGGAACCAGTTTTTTCTTCAAGATGCACACAGCAAGAGGGCAAGAGGCAATAGTCACTAGTTGCAGCAAAGAAAATTTTGACTGAATATAAGGAAAAGATTTCACAGTAAAAGAGGGTAAGCAGTGGAACAGGTGCCTAGAGTAGTTGTGGAGCTTCTGCTCTTGGAGATATTAAAAATTTGGGTGGATTCAGCTGTGGGCAACCTGACCTAACTTGAAAGATAACCCTGCTTTCAGCAATGTTTGCACTAGAGACCTCCAGAGGTCCTTTTCAACCTAATTTTTTTAGTGATTATGAATTCTCTGATCTCAGGGGGCGTGGAATGGGGAAAGATGTTGAATGATGCATCCAAAATAGGTTTCCTATTGCTGCATCTTAATACAGTTTGAGAAAAAACCCAAACCAACTGTGTATTGATCTAGTAATGCAGCTACTCCAGTAGCTAAAATCTTAGCATGAACAATATCTTAAATAATTTTTTTTATAGTCTTGAAATTGCAGTAATGATTTTGAAATATTTTCTGGGTGGTTATGCACCCAGGTTCATGTGGCAATAGGAGAAACAGTCTAACCAGGCATTGTAAAAGCTTAGTTGCTGCGTCACCACTTTATGTACAAGAAAGCTTTGGAACTCTACCATCTGTATTTTTAACTGTTCAGTAATGTTTAATGTAAATTCAGGTATCAAACAATACTTAATTGATGTATTTTTAGGGCTGTTTTTACTATCCCATTCCCATAGAAACCTTACCAGGTCTCTATGTATATGCCTAACAAGTTCTAATTTATCTAATTGGGAAAGGTGATCCCCCACTATATTCTTCTCTAATTGCATCAAGAAAGCTCCTAAGGGCTTTTGTTCCACTGTCCAGCTCCCTTGACAGTAGTACAAATCTGAGATAGTTAAAAAGCACATCTCCAAGAGAAAGCATTCAGGCGCTGAAGAACTGAAAAACAGTATCTGGCACTGAGCTAAATTATCTTTAAAAATTTGAATGCAATCGTATCTTCAAAACTGAACACTAATATTAAGGTTCTTTGATATGAGAGAGGTTCCTCTGCTGTACTAAGTTTCGGCATCTCCGACCCGGCGTTCAATATGAAGAATTGTATATGAAGAAGAGATGAAATACAGGCTGGGAAGGCTGCTGTCTCTACTGCCAGCAACAGGCATTGGGGTGGAGAGATGAAATCATGTTGTGGTGTATTTTTGAGGGGATTCAACTTCAAAGTCCATGACTTCCCAAAGGAATTTAGCAGTTTTTGAAGTATAATCACAGTTTCAGTGGAAGAAGAAAAAGAGGAAGATACGGTGGAACACATAGGACAGAACTGGAATGATTGTGGTAGATATTTATGGAAGGTTAATTTTAAATTATTCTTCTATCTAGCTTTCTTTAGTAAATTTTCTCACAAGAAGAGGTAATTACCGTTTTGGAATGGACAAAGTAGTTCCTCTTTAGTGAACCCATCCTAGTTGGTGGTGTATCCTTCAGATTCTACACGAATTTCCTTGGAACACATGCATTTGTATTGTTCCAGGTTAAAGAGCTCAGTCAGCATTGTTCAGTTAGAATAACCTGCTCCACTCATCAGGTGTTTTGTTGTGTTGTTGTTTTTTTTTTTTTTACTGGGCATTGTTTATTTTGTTTTTTTAAATTAAATATTTGGGGTTTGTGTGTGTCAGAGAAATGAATGTAGTCAAGTGACCAACACAGCTCTGCAAATATCTTTTGTAGTAGCAGTCACCACATCACAAATTACTTTTCAGTTCAGTCCAGCTAGTAGTGGGAAAGGGGTTGTGGAAGGGGCTGCAAGTACACATAGCAGAACAGCATAAGGTAATGAACAGTACAATAAACTATTACCAAAGTAATAGTTTATTGTACATGAGATACTTTTTAGTATAGAAGGTTGGGGTTTTTAAAAATATCTTAAGTAATCACCTGTTCCTTTTTTGTTGTTGTTGTTTCAGCATTAAAGCTGGACGTCTCCTCTCGCACATTCCGTATCAGCTTTACACCAAGCAGTCAAGTGTTCAAAAAGGTCTCAACTTTAATAGCATATGCAAACCTGAAGATGCCATGCCAGGTCCAAGCAATATAGCTAAAGATCTCAACAGGGTGTAAGTGTTTCTGATCTTGTAATGCAGATGCTAATCATTCATCCATAATGAGTTTGCATTTATAACTATATAGCATTTTTAAAATTAATGTCAGCTTTATAAGAGGGAAGCTCTGAGGCACTGAAATTTAAAAATAAGGTATACCTATATAAATAGTTGAGGACAGAACTGCAGTTACCTTGACTCCAAGCCTTGTCTCTAGCCTTTGGACCACGCTTTGCTTAATAATAGGACCTAGCAGTCCTAGGATGTCGCATGTCTGTATAGAAGCAACAGGCATGCATTAAAATATTCTGACTAGTGACACTAAAACGTAGGTCTTTATTTCAAAACAGAAAGCTAGAATGATTTGATTGCTTTTGCTAAAGGTACCTAGAAGAAATGTAAATGCATAATAATTATTTCTTTAACTTCTTTTTTAAAAGTCACAGCATACCTTATGTATGCTAACACCAAGGTTTAAGTCATGCTTGAGAGAGAAGATGGATTAAAAAGATCCAATTACAATATAAAAAATTATCCTAAATTATCTTGAGAAGGGAATAGAACAGGAAGCACCAGCAAGACTTTTAAGTGGCAGGGGAACTGGAATTTGGAAAGAAACATTCCACTTGAACAGACTGTTCTGTACTTTTTTTTAAGAGGGTTCCTGCATCGTTTTCAGAAGCATGTGTTTGTTGTTTAGAGGCAGGAATCATAAAATTACAGAATGGTTGAGGTTGGAAGAGACCTCTGGAGGTCATCTGGTCCAACGCTACTGCTCAGACAGGGCCAAGGATACTGTATAAGATACTGTACTTTCTGATTTGTAATGGTGATCTGTGTTCTTCCACAGTCAGCTCATTTATTTAAAATCTAGTTCTGTGTAGTGCTGAGGAGACTTTACCACAAGTGAGATTTGTCTATATTTAGGAAAAACAAAACCAGTACTGCAAAATGAATATACTAAGCAGTATTTCTTACCTGTATTTTAAACAATGAATGATACAGTCACCTCTTATTATTGCATTGTTAATGTTTTTTAAATGAGAATAATATTCAGACTTCCAAAAATACCAGTTTTCTCTGAAAATCGTGTGTTTAAAAGCCCACCCTTTCCACTGATACATACCACTGGATATACCACTTTCAGCCACGCCACTCCTCAAAAATGTTATGTTTAATATAATTTATGATTGTGATAATCTTAAACAAATTGTTGTCATAGTTAATTGGCTTTCTGGTTTAAATGGTATACTGTATAACTAATTATTTCCCACCCTTTTTTTTGTGTACTTAAATTGCTAGCTGTGGGAGTTGGGAGTGATTGTCAGGTTGTTTTTTTTAAGCAGATGAAGAGCATGCACAACTCTTGAAGGCTTTGGTTTTAATTCCACTTAGGGTTTGTTAGACAGTTCATTTTTTTTAATGAAAACTTTGCATATACACTGTCAAAGTAAAGGTAAATTGCCAGTGCACTTGTGGCAGAACACGTTGTTTTATGTGCTTAAAAGATAAAAAGTAGTTTGGATTTTTGTCAAAAGCTAAGAATACGTTTGATGTATAGAGCTTGAATAGATTTTTCCTTGGGAGAAGATAAAAAAATCTAACACATTAATCTAAAATAATTTTCTAAAAAAATAGAAGTTTTCTATGTATAGTTTCTTGTTTGTTTGTTTGTAACTAGATAAGGAAAATAATATCTGTTGATAAAAAGATAACTCCTTCTGATAGTTGCCATATTCCTGCACCATTCATGCTGTCCATGGTAGTACAGTTCTGTTAACAAATAAATAATTATTGTAATTCGATTGGAGACTTCCGGTCAAATTAAGGACCTTGGAAATACCTTTTCTAACATGAGCATGATTTTGGTCACTCCCATGTACACTTCTGGTAGTGCTGCGTTAATAATACACCAAATCTGTAAAATCTTTCTTACAGCAGTACAATATTTTGTGACATTGAGAAGACATGGCTCAGAGTTTGAGCTAGTTGTCTTGAGGTTGTAAAAACTACTCAAGTACTTCTCATTTACTACTGATAACCATTAGGAAGATAAATACTTAGCACTTGAAATGACCTGTAAATGTGCCTTGTTTTATAAAAGATATGGTATTAAATAATCGTATCTGTTTCAGAAATCATATTAAAAAGTGTGAGATGGAAAATGAGATCAAACCCAATGGAGTAAGTAGCTGGAATGAAGAAGAGGAGGAAGAAAGTGACGATTTTGGATTTACAGAGCTGGAGCACATCCTTCCTGGACGGAAACAAAATGGGATTCAGTCTCACAAAGACAGCACTGCCATTTTTAACGGACACACACACACTTCTACCAGTGCCTTAAAGACACAGGATTGCTTGGTGCCCTCTGGCAACGGTGTTGCAAGTAGGTTCTCTCCAGGCCCTGTGCAGGAGGAAGGGAAGACTGAAAAAGGCATGGTTGACTTTAGAGACTGCACAATGCAGCAGTTGCAGCAAAGCAACAAAAGTACAGACTTTTCGTGGAATCCACATAGGACTATGAGTAATTCATCCTCATCTTCATCTTTGCACAGTAATGCTAAAATAAATGGTGCTCACCACTCCACTGTTCAGGGGCCTTCAAGCACAAAAAGCACTTCTGTACCTACTTCTAGCAAAGCAGCTTCCTTACCTGTGTCCAAACCTTCAGATTGTAGTTTTATTTCTGACTTTTATTCACGTTCAAGACTGCATCATATATCAACGTGGAAGTGTGAATTGACAGAGTTTGTCAACAGCCTGCAGAGAAAAAACAGCGGTGTCTTTCCAGGAAGGGAAAAGTTAAAAAAATGGAAAACAGGCAGGTCTGCACTTAAAACTGACACAGGTAGATACTTGTTTAAGAAGGTTTATGTTGAGAAGGTGCCTTATATCTTTGTACATTAAATGTCTAACTGAGACTAAGTAGGTTAGTATTCAGTATTCACATTACAGTCAAGCTATCTGATAAAGCTTGGTGACTTTGATGTACTGAAAACTAAAGGATCCAGCTGCTTTTAGTTTTGTTTGTTTGGGTTTTTCTAACTTACAATGTGACTTAATGCGATACTCTGGTCTATATTAAATTCCTCCTTGTAGAAATAATATTCTTGACTTTACCAAGATATGTGGATCAAGGGGAAAAAAATTTTTATATATATACATATGTGTGTGTGTATGTATATATATATATATATATATAAATACTCAAGTCTATAGTTGCTGTGTGAAAATCTAAAGAGGAAGAAACAAAACAAAAAACCTTGCTGCTTATAGGTCAGTGTGAAAATTTAAAAGATGAGTAACGATTGAAAATTAACTAAAATCTAGAAATTTTTTTGTTAGTAGGAGTTTTATATACCTCTGGGTCTGTTTAAATGGGTAGCAGTGTCATATGAGATTTTTGAACCTGGCTTGTGACAGAAGAGAAGTGTTTTATGTCATTACATCAAGGGCCTAAATGAAAAAATATGTGTAATTCATGAAAGACAAAGTGTTACAAGTATAGATAAAGAATTTTGCATCTTTAGAATCTCTCATTTACAGTCTTAATCAATTAAAAGGCTAGCTTTGTATCATCGAAGAGATTCTGACTCTGTTGTGCTGTGGAAATACTTACTTGTAATCATATGAGAATATGCTTGACGATAGATTACCCTAAAAAAAATATTATTAGATAAATAAATTAACTGATTCTGTGTTTGTGCTAGGACACTCCTGTTATAAAATATGTTAGCTTACAAACTACCTTAATGTGTATTTTTTCCATCAAAATATGGCATAAGCTAATATATTTTTATTTTCTCTTTGATTTGGCCTAGAGTATTTAAATAGTTAATGATTGTTTCGGTTGACAAGTAGAAGCTTCTCAAGCACTTGATTTGTAAATACGGCCTTTATAAGACAGTCTTTATTTTTTAAAAACAGTAAGTTTAAATGGTAAATTATTAAAAACAGGAAAACATTTTTGTGAGTACTTGGTAATTAACTCAGATGTTAAGCAGAACAGTTGACTTGATGTATTGAAGTAGTTTTTTACTGTTACACTTAATGCATTGTTCATGAGATTTTGTTTGTTTGATAGATGTAGCCTCTTCTGGTAGGTCAGCAACATAGACATGCAGACTTGAACGTCTAGAGTAGTTAACACAAATATTTCTAGTGCTTTAGGTGTGTAAGTTTTTCAGTCTGGAGCTATCTTGCTCATCTTTGCTGAATGTTTAAGTGAGTGTAGGTACAGCAGTGACAAAATCCAATTGCATGAGAGGTTTAAAACTCATTTTGGTGCATTTAATTAAGAATTAATGGTAGCTCTTAGTGCAGCCAAACTGGTTTTTGTCTTTTGTAAGAGTCTTTTGATTGATGAACAAAAAGGAGTCAAGTTCTCTGTTCCAGATTCAGTGTTAACGTAGCAAAATTAAGATCCAGTTCCCACAACATGCATTAATCTCCTTGGGTTGAGGGAACTTGTTAGATAGAAGGTGTTAATTATGAGAAAATAAAATAGAAATTTTAAGTTGATGCGTTGTTTAGGCTGTTTGTCTACTGTTTATGTTTACATTTCTCTGAGAGTTTTGTGAATGTAAATGTCTTCTGGGTGAGAAGAAACCAAAATCTTTATAATTTAAGATGGTAAAAACTTGATAACAATCCTTGATGACTACTGTGAGTACTATCAAAGTGTATAAATTAGGGTTCAAGTTTTCTATTGGTGTATCTTCATACTAGGTAATGTGTCTGTTGCAAGCTCAGCCAAGCCACAGAGCTGTATAATGCACGTGGATATGGATTGCTTCTTTGTGTCTGTGGCTATCCGAAATAGACCAGATCTCAAAGGTCAGTATTTAATTCTATATGTTACAGTTTACTCAGTTAAGCCTTTAAAAACAAACCCAAACTTGCACACTTACAAAATGAACTTTGCATGTTAATCTTTTTCTGGCATCTTTGGTAGTCATACCATGCAACTTCCATATTCCTGCTTACTTGCTCACAATCCAGAAGCAAGTGGAAGACAGAACTGGAATTCTCCTTGCTGTCTCATTTCAGTATCTAAAGTAAGAAGTCAAATCTGGAGTAACTATTCTCTGAGACTTAAATCTACCATATTAGAAATCGGAGATCAGATTCTGGTTGTACAAAAAGTGGGTTTTGGTCATTCTCTGTTTGTTTTGAGATCTTTATTTTTTTATTTTTAAATAAATGATTAGGCTATACTAATAATTTTCCTGAAGTAATGTAAGGAGCTTTGTTTAACTAGAAAAGTGGAAAGGTCAAGGCTGAGAATTGTCTCTTTGCCTGATTCATCTTTTTCAAGGGAAATTTGCTTCTCCTTCCCTTTTCTATCTGAGCTATTACACATGAAGAATTACAAGACCTGGAGGTTGAACAGTTCGGTTGGCATTTAGGAGTCTGAGTTGTGTGATCATCCTTAGGGCACAGGAAGAGTTAGTGGAGCTTCTTAGCAAGTTTTGGTGGGGTTTTTTTTTATTTTTCAAGTGAATCATTCAGAAATGGAGATAGTGGTTGTTCTATGCAAGCACAAGTTTGGTAAAGCACAAGTCTGAAGACTTGGTGCAGTGGTGACCATCTGATGCCCAGCTATTGTTGACCTTGGGAAAGAAGAGTAAGCTGTGTATACAATTCCTTTGGTCTCTCCTGTCCAAAGGCAGGAGCAATGCTATTGAAGGTACTCCTGGTATGTTTGGGTCTTTAAAACTTTTATTTCCTGACAAGTTTCAGGTTCCATTACTGGAATATAAAGAACGAAGGACTCTCCTGCAAGTATTTTTTCTGTTCCAGGGAAGTCTGCCAGAAATTTTAGTGCATAAATTAGCTTCCTATAGAAAAATTACAGAGGTATTGATATTACTAGAAGGTCAAAAGTTTACTAAAAATTTGATTTTGTACAGTTAATTAAACAAGTGGAACTGATTGTGTTGGTATGTGTATACTCTTCTACTTTACTTAAGCTAATAAACATGATAAAGTATTTAAAATCAGTGCAGTGTTTGCTGTGTCTTAAACTAGTGAATCATTAGTGATTCCATTTTTACTCTTTATTAATAAAAGACAAACTAGTATAGCTGCATTTTCACTCTTTAAAAGCTTTTCTTCTTTATACGTGACTGCAATTAAGACAGCAAATTCCTAGTCACAATGCAAAGTCACTTTCATAGCTGTGTCCTCCTTAATGCTGTAAGAGTGTATAAGCTTGAAAGAAATATAAAAAAATAAAGCAGACATTTTTATGATCTTACCTTAGTTGTGCTGTATTAAAATGTAAGCTATTGTAGATGTTGACTTACAAGTACATGCATTTCTTCTCCACAGGAAAACCAGTAGCTGTTACTAGTAACAGAGGTGCAGGAAAGGCACCACTGCGCCCTGGTGCAAACCCCCAGCTTGAACAGCAATATTACCAGAATAAGCTACTGAATGGCAAAGCAGGTACAGATAATTCTGTTTGTTTGGGGTTTTGTCTTTATGTTTTTAACTTTTGTTATTGAAGACTTTTTCCTTAAAGTTATTAATAATGTGCACAGTGGATAGATTTGTTTTCTTAACGTGAGGGATTTCAGAAAAGAAGTCTCTTTGGACAACACAGTGTTCTGTGGCCTCAGTAATAGCATGTCACTGCAACTTCTTATTACGTAGCTTTGCTCAGTATGGGTGAATTATTTTAGAGTAATTTTAGGTTTTACTCACTTTCATTGAGGTTAAGATACAATGTTAAGTAATTATTTAAAATAAGAAATAAATACAGGTTGTCTGGGATCATTTTGTTCTGAGTAAGTCCAGAAGAAGGTACAAAATAAATTTTAAAAGGCTACTAAAATTTTTTTAATATAAAAGTAGAAATGACAGCACATGGCCAGTGAGAAACTGATTGTTTGAAGTTGGCTTTTGAATTGCATATTTGTGTACAATATCTGTGTATGATAAATTAATTTGGGTGGTCCTTAGAGCATTTTAGGCTTCTGGAAAGTCTGTGCAATTTCCATGACTTCCGTCTCTCCAGTACTTTGTTTCCTCAAAACCAGGGCATCTGTTGTAATTTGACAATTCCTTACTTGTCTGCAGTAATTTAAAAATCTGTTACTTTCTGTGTCCTCCAGTAGTAGCATACTAATGTAAGCAAAAAATACTTTTATTAACAAGTTTTATTATACTGCCTGAACTGCGTTTAGTATGAGAAAATGTATTGCTAAACAATGGCAACTTGTTTTATCTTTTCTTCTCCAACAGTCTGCTGAATCAGCTTGAAACCTGGTTTTTACCACAGGGTTGGTAAGAAGTGCGTGTACAAGGGACAGCTGCTATTTAATTTCCATTTGGATTTGAAAGTTGAGTTTCTCCTTTGCCCCTTGCATTTGCACTTTTTACCAACCTTGTGAAGGCAAGTTATAAAGTTGACACCTCAGTGAGTTATTTTGTTCATACAAAGTGTGGAGAAAGACAGGTTGTTCTTCCCTGGTTGTTTCTGAAGTGTTAGTACTTGAAAAAAAAGTACTCTGCCAGTTTTCAAAGACATTTGGAAACAAGATGTTACAGGAAGTGATGCCATTTTATTTGTCTTTTTGCTATAGTTTAAGAACACTTCAGAACTGAGGTAGAATATGTGTTTATGGAACCCGCTGACCTTTAACTTTTTAAGGACTTTTCTGAATGCTTCAGACTTTGCTTCTGCTGTTGTTTGCAGTGCCATATATAAGTGTGTTACAGAGATGGCTGTGGTTTTTATGGAGTTGGATTTTCTGTAGTATAGCTTGTGTATGAGCTATTTATTGGTAGTTCAGTTTTATACAGTGACTTTGTAACTTTTATTAGGATCTTAACTGGATAAGGGTGTGACTTCATACAGTCAAGTGATGTTTGGAGAGTGAGGCAGTTAAATTATGAAAGTTTAGCTGGTGTCTTGCATGTTCTTTGTGATTCACAAATTCAGTAGTATCTCTTCTACTATAGTTATTGCTTAAGACTACAACAGGTTTCATTCAGTTTCTTACTACAGCAGCTTTTTCTGGATATCCATATGTTCATGTCTTTAACTTCAGCATCCAATCTCACTGGCTTGCACACAGGCAGGCAGCTAGCTTGCTCTTCCTTGATACTTAGTCTGATTGTGCAACCTCTTGTTTTGGTGAAAGGATTTTTCTGTAACACTCTTTTTGTAGTCTGTCTCATTAGCTGCAGTTCATAGTATTTTTTTAGTCTCTTTAGTAATTTTTATCTCCATGTACAGTAGTTTTATCAACAGAAAGTACAGCCTTTTGTTTCTGCTTGCATTCTCATAAGTATGTGGCTTGTCTTCTGTTTGGGGAAAAGAAATTACAATTAGCTATGGTCTTAGCTGAAAAGGTGGAATTGCAGGTTAGGCTTTTCTAACATCACAGTATCTTAGAAAGTGTATGTGACACATTTCACAGCATGTGTTTAATTGTGCCGTGCCAGAGGTACATATCATCCAGTAGGCACATGTAGCACATGGGAAAAGTACTTTTTTCTAAAACATCAAAAATACAGAATGCTAAAATATACTGTTAAACATACGCAATTCTGTTTGGGGACATGTTATATAAATAAAATAAAAAGGTAGCTGGGACCGTCTTTGAACATGAGCATATTTTTACATCCAGGCTTCAGCATGGAACCCACTTCATTTTTTGATGCTTCATGTTTTCCAGGCTGTTCTCTGATTTTGCTTTCTCCAGGTCTTGCTTATTAGAAAAAATGCTCCAAATTAAAAAAAATAAACAAACAAAACCAGACCCTTATGAACCCTTTTGACTAAATAGTCAATTCTGCTGCTTCAGCTACTTCTTTTTTTGTAAATTACTTCTTTAGTGATACTGGTTCCTGCCTTTGATCTGCTTTGCTAGACAAATTTCAAGATTCTATTGACACTAGATTCTTTTCTGAAATACTTTCTTTTTCTTGTTTGAATTCATCCAAAAATGTGTAACTTTTAAATTTGAAAACTTGCTATCATTCTCACCCTAAATCTCCAAATTGGAGATAGCCTTTCTGGGTAGTAGAAATTACTTCTCTGAATACATGCCATCTTTAGCGTTCATGTTCTAAAGATAGGAGATTAACATATTTTAATCAGGATTCATAGTTTGGGGTCTTTTCTCCATGGCCAGGATGCCCAAGATGTGAATGTTTTCTAGGCTTCCTTTCCCTCAACCCTAGTATCTCCCTTTTTCCATTCTAAAGAGCAGCAGATTTTAACCATCATATTAGTCACAGATTTATTCTCAGCGATTTCTTTTTCACAGACTTGGGTCCTGGCCTCTGATTTCTCCATCCGTTGCTCCACATTCACCATGTGCCTGTCTAGTTTCCCAGCTTTTGGTGAGAGGTTCTCTACCTTGCCTTCCATTGAGGACAATGTGTTCTGCATTGCCCTGAATTTCACATGAAGTGACTCCATCAGCTCATGGGGGGATCTGCTCTGCTGCGATGTGGAAAAAGTCGACGAGTCCAATGAAGATAGACAAGATGACAGCATCATCTCAGGCCAGGGCACAGGAAGGCATGGACTAAAGAAATTGTTCTGTCATTCTGATCTTTATCTGGGGCATAATTTTGCTCTGATTTTCAGTTGCAGACATCTTAGGTAACTTACTGAGCTCATCATACATTATTATATTTAAGAAATAAAAAGGTCCACAAATTTAGCAGAAATTCTGAATAAAACCAGTTTTTTACATGACTCAGGCTCTACCCCTGCTGTCTCCACTCACTCATTGCAACACTTCTGGTCTGATAGCTACTTGTATGTGCGCATAGCACCATGTTCCCTTTCAGTCAGTTTGTCAGTGTGTAAGTTGTTGGTACCATGAAATGTAATTAGGCATTGTGGCACTCCGAAGAAAACTCCCTGTTTATTGTAATAGAAAGGTGTCTGGTATTAAATAGAATACAGTAATGAAAAAGAACTATAACATACATATTGGATTCCATTTTAAGTAAATAGAAGCTTTTTGTCTGTATGATACCTTGTTGCTTTGATTCTGATGGGGAGTTTGGGAGGGCATAGTAGTTTTTACATTTAACCATTTTTTCAGGCTGATGTATATTTAGAGTATAGGCATGTGTCTTTCAAGGTTTACATACTGTGAAAACCCAAATAGAAAGGAGTACTTGATTCCAGTATTCAGTGTTATGCAATTCTGTTCTACTACCTAGTATGCAGTGGGCCTGGAGGACTCTTTAAAATTTATCTAAGAGCATGCAGTAAAGTTTTATAGAATTAGGGAATGTCTGTCTTATTTTAATGTCTGGGGTTGCAGTATTTATAATTGTTTCATTCTAATCCAAGATATATATGGTGATATTTGACAAAAGTTGACATATCCTAATAAGAGAACTATTAGGAAGTAACAGAAATTTTGTCAATTCGTTGACAAAAAAAAGTTTTGTCAATTCCTTGACTTATATCCCCATAAGAGTGCTAAAGGAAATATAAGTTTCTAGCTAGTGTTTTTTTTTTGTTTAAGCTAATTAGCGTTCTAATTATTTAACTTCTTAAAAATCACTTCGGGTTATCTAGATCATTAGAAGAATAGTTTGAAGTAAGAGGTTGTAAGTATGATAAAAAGTGGATTTGTATTTGAATTTAGTTTCTGTGTTCTGGTAGTAGTTGTGCTTTTTGTAAAAGGGAACGTAGCTAAGTGTCTTGTTCAGCTAAGCAGTTGGTAAATTTCTGAGTGTCTTATATTTGCTTACGGGATATGGTTGTAGCAGTTAGCCTCAAGTGTTTGATCACTTCTCTTGTCATTAAAGCTAACTGAGATCAGTCTTATTTTATAGTATGGTGTATGTAGTCACTAGTAAGCTGCTGTCTAGTAATTTGGGGGAAAATAGAAACAGAATTTTTCTGTAGCTTAATACTCTTCTCAGTAATGTGTACAGACCTATCTGCAGAGAGAGATTGCTCTGTTGAGGGGGCATTCTGCTTTTTTTTTTTTCTGGACCGTGATATGAATCAATATAGTATGAAGAACCTCTTAATCAACAGTTAGCAGTATAGAAATTGTATAAAATAAAATCCATAATTTTTATTTTATTCACATTCATTCTGTTCAACTCTTAAGAAAAATAACGCAAAAACAAATGTTATTTTCCAAGCAGAAATTGGAGTACCTGATAAGCTGGACCCATCAGTCTGGGAGCATCCGGATTCCACACATGTGAATGGAGCTGACTTCGATCTCACTGTTCTGTCCATGGCTGAAATAGCTTCTTGTAGTTATGAAGCCAGGTAGGTAAAAGTTACCTATCAGATTGCTTGAAAATCTCATTCAGAGAGGCATAAAATCTCCAAAAATAGCAGTTGTTAAGTCATTTTTTTTTTAATTTATCTACAGAGGAATTTGGTTTTATGTTTTCTGAAGTTGTATATAGGTTGTTAGAATTTAACACAAGATCTTCCCTATGGATACTGCTGCTTTTTAAACACTGCTTAATAGCTCTTAACCTAGCCTACCTGTTACTTGAAACAAAGCCTATTAAGGAAAACCTTACATGATTCACTGTGATATTGCTGCTTTCATAATGTTATCTTCACTTCTTTGTATTAAAATTTAAATCTTTTATGGAATTAAGAACACTTTGTTACTGAAGGTTTTAGTTAAAATCAGACAGTAAGTGTGATTACTAAACTTAAGACCATTTCTTGCACAGATTATACTGAGCGTGCCCAATAACATAGATTATAAATGTTCCGAGTATGAAGCAACTTGTTATAAATATAAGCTCAGCCTTGGAAATAGTATTTTCTTCCCTGATGGAAACAAAACTCCAGAAATTATTGCTTCATTGGAACCTTTCTCAAGCATGCTAGGATAGGCAGGCTTATATTTGTATCTCAAAAAGTTAGAGTTTATTTATTGCGGGAGCATAATTTTCTGAGCTTGCACAGTGGAATATAAGATCCAGTTACTTTAGTCACTGTAGTATATGTGTGGTTTTAATTTGAAATAGAAGATGGCAAGTAGTGCTTTCTGGAGACTTTGTCTTTGTCTTAAGCATGTTCCCAAAGGCAGGCTGTCCATGCTGCATGCCTGGGTATTACACAGCTAATTCAAATCCTCTGTTTGCAGTTACTTATCTTACCTATTATATTGCTATCACTTGGGCTAAATTCCTTTTTATTGGTAATTCATTTTAGTGGGAAAAGACAAATACTTCATTTGGAAATACTCCATATTAATGTATGGAAAAGTTGGTACTGTGTTTATTTGGAGTTTTTTTATTATTTAATTCTAGACAAGTTGGCATAAAGAATGGAATGTTTTTTGGCCAAGCAAAAAAGCTGTGTCCAAACCTTCAAGCAGTTTCGTATGATTTTGATGCGTACAAAGAAGTTGCACGGACAGTATACGAAATACTAGCAAGGTAACGTGCTGTTTGTTTACGTGGCCTTTCATGGTAAGGTTATCAAGCATATTTTATTTGGCACTGCTGAATGCCATTATTTGATTCACTATTTTAATCTCCATGATGCTCTTCAGCTTCAATAAAGCCATTCCTATTTGAGAACTTCCTTTTGTAGTATTTGTGTTCTTTTGAGCACTGTTCCTCTTCTGAGCATTCTTTTATCTTGAAGCCACATCCTATAAACAGTCAACATTTGAGTTCCAAAGGAGTAATTGTTAAATTTTTTTACTGATTACATTATGAGAAGCAAATCCTTGCTTAGTAGTGAGGTTCTTCCAAGAGGGTTTTTTGAGTAACTTAAGAATAGGTTATTGGAGTAAGGTCTATTAGAAACTACTTCATGGTTTAAAACGCACTTTAACAAAACTGGAAATTTGTTCATGTCAATGAAGAATAAATATTCAACTCCTTTTCCAGCTGTTCCTTTAAAATCATGATGCATGTTGAAATTAGTCCTACATTAGTAATGTTACTGTAATTTGCTGGTTTCGCATTTTTAATATGTAAGTGATCTGTGATGCAAAATAAGCTGGGAAATGCCACCACAAAAGGAAGACTTTATTTGCTACATATTTGTTTTAACAGATGGTGAGCTGTTGCTGGTGTTTCACCTCCTTTACTTTGTGTTGATAGCTATACTCATAACATCGAAGCAGTCAGTTGTGATGAAGCACTAGTAGATATCACTGAAATCCTTACAGAGACCAGATTGACTCCTGATGAACTTGCAAATGCTATCCGCACCGAAATCAAAGCCCAAACTAAATGCACTGCTTCAGTTGGGATGGGTAAGTACCTTATTTCATTTCTGTTCACAAGCATTGCCTCCTGTTGTTAGGTGTTTCAGAGCTATGTAAGATTGCTAAAACTCTTAAGTGTTTGTGTGATATGGAATATATTGGCATTTATGTTAAATTAGTGTAAATAAAAATGCAAGAAAATCTTCGTAAGTGGAAAGTTTTAAGCAAAAGTTTATAAAATTGCTATCACTTCTTCTTCGTTGTCTGAACAGTATCCTAAAATTCCATCTCTCTGATATTCTTACATTAATTTTTATGAAATGCTACTGTATTTTTCCATTAAATAGAAAAATGAACACAGATTCTGTTCTTTATTGGAGAGAGCAGTAAGAGTTTACCGGGTGGTCTGATTAGCATAATTATTAGAAGATATTGAGAGCAAAGATTTGTGTGATTTGTAGTAGGTATTGGAGATGAAATCACACATCTGAAAAGACTTCCTTGATTTCTTTTCACTTGGCCCCTTCCTTTCCCCTTTGTTTTTGTCTCTAATTAATTCTAGATTTGAGTATCTGTAAATAAATACACTGAGTATATATAACTGTATGAAATCCACTTGTGAGACAAGCTGAAATTCATTACTGTAAGCAGAATTCTTCCTTTATTTCTTACGATATCACAGTACAGAGACTGTAATTCCCTGGGTTCCTGTTTGTGTCTTGTTTTGACTTGAAACACATTTGTAATCTCTTTTATATGCTTATTTAGTGTGTTTGTTTTTTCTATAGAAAGAGTGGGATTACTTTTTAAAGCACTGTTTTCTAATATGATGTCATAGTTCACTTAGCAATTGAAAGAGACAAATACCTATAAGCAATTTTTTTTTTTTCTTCTAATAATCCATTTTTATGAGATATTGGAAAATAATTTCCGTACCCTTTATAGAAATTCATATGGTAGGTGCACGACAAGGAGTTTATCTCTTCACTTGTAATTCATCGTTAAGTAAATAAATCAGAGGAAACAATTGTACTTGTACTATTATTACTATTATTGCCAGCACTGTGCCCTTGTGGCCAGGAAGGCCAATGGCATCCTGGGGTGCATTAGAAGGGGTGTGGTTAGTAGGTTGAGAGAGGTTCTCCTCCCCCTCTACTCTGCCCTGGTGAGGCCACATCTGGAATATTGTGTCCAGTTCTGGGCCCCACAGTTCAAGAAGGACAGGGAACTGCTGGAGAGAGTCCAGAGCAGAGCCACGAAGATGATTAAGGGAGTGGAGCATCTCCCTTATGAGGAAAGGCTGAGGGAGCTGGGTCTCTTTAGCTTGGAAAAGAGGAGACTGAGGGGAGACCTAATTAATGTTTACAACTATGTTAAGGGCAAATGTCAGGAGGATGGAGCCAGGCTCTTCTCAGTGATGCCCAACGATAGGACAAGGAGCAATGGGTGTGAGCTGGAACACAGGAGGTTCCGCTTAAACTTGAGAAAAAACTTCTTTACAGTGAGGGTGACAGAGCACTGGAACAGGCTGCCCAGGGAGGTTGTGGAGTCTCCTTCTCTGGAGACATTCAAGACCTGCCTGGATGCCTTCCTGTGTGATCTCGTTTAGGTTCCTGCTCCGGCAGGGGGATTGGACTGGATGATCTTTCGAGGTCCCTTCCAATCCCCATCATTCTGTGATTCTGTGATTCTGTGATTATGTGAATGTAGATTCCTTATTTTGAAAAACATGGTCTACCAGAAACGTACATCTTGTGTAAGTGATTTATGTGTTTCCCAGTGGGAAAGTTGTACCAATATAATAAAATGTAAATTTGAATAGATACTGTTACACTACTGAGATCTCCTCTCAACACTCTTGTCTGGTTAGAGATAAATTAAAGGAGGGCATGCTTATGCCAGTTGAATAAATTTATTTTTTACCCTAGAGATTTTAGTGGCTAAACTAAACTGATTTAAACAATGCTAGTGAAAGATTAAACCCTCATCTGTAAACATCCTGTATCTTGGTTTCTTATTTGCTAAGTGAGTTATTAGTTTTTTCCTGCTTTACTTCAGTGTTGTGGGAATAATACATTGCAGAAGGTAAATCACTGAGATTTCAGGGTATTAGAGGCTATGTTAGTATGTTTGATAGATAAGAGGATCAGAAATCTTCAGTACTCTGTAGACAAAACATGGATCCCAAAGTTAAATAGGAAATTGACTGAGGAATCTGTTGTTAATTTTTTTATCAATTTAACCTCTCAGGAGAGACAGTGCATGTAAAACTCTTGTTGCTGTTATTATTGACTAAAATTTTAGATAGACAAAAAGAATGTGAACGTAGGTGGGAGGAGAAGAGCAAGAGTAACACAGTGCTGTGAGTTGCGAATCCTCCTTTTATTAGTTTGCTTCATCTTAGAACATGGTGTTTGAGTGGCAAAAATGAATGTGTTTGGGTATAATTTCAGAAATCTTGTTGGCTGGGCCTGAATGAGCCTATAAACAGGGGAAAAAATGCTGAAATAGGTCTTGTTCCCACCACACTTTATGAGTGCATATAATAATTTAATAAAGTAATTGGATTTTTTTTAGTGAATACTCAGGCCCAAATATGAGCTTAATTCCACTATTTCACATATAATATACTTGATAGAATTGTCACTTAAGTATTATTTACATTAACCACAGTGAATTTTTTTTAAGTTCTACAGTGTTAAAATATTACACTTCTACATTTTTAGCCATTTGCACTTAACTGTTTATCTGTACCTCTACATATGTAGAACATAACCAAGACAAATAAATTCAGTGTTCTTAGTGAAGTGTCCTGCACTTGTTACTTGTTGGTTGTTTTGGTTTTTTTGGTGGGTTTTGTTTGGTTGATTTTAACTTTGCAATTGCAGTTACCACTACAGTTACACTGCTGTAATCAGAAATACTGCTAGCTGCTAATTTGGAAGTAGATACTGCAAATGTATCTTTCATTAAATTATTTGTAAAAGATAAGGAATTTGACTGTACTTTCTGTATTTTTTTCCTTGTCTGATGAACTGTGGAGTTCTACTTGAGAAGACAGAAGTTACCACAGACGTACCTTTAATTTGTTGTTTTTCAGGTTCCAATATTCTGCTGGCCAGAATGGCAACTCGTAAAGCAAAACCAGATGGACAATATCACTTAAAACCTGAAGAAGTGGATGATTTTATCAGAGGGCAACTTGTTACCAGTCTTCCAGGTACTCTCTTGTTTTAGAGGACATTTTGCCTCCTGATATTAAAACAGTTTCAGATACAAATCTGTGTTCCGCATCAAACAAGATCAGATGTTATTCCATGGTTATGATCTGAAAAAAGAAGATGTATTGATTTCTGAAAATTTCTGAAAAGAATCTCCATGACCTTTTTGTATCTTTTGAAAAGCATATTTTTTAGTAAAGAATTTTACAGATTCACACAGTATGATCTATGGAAAAAACTTAGAGTTTAGTATTTTATGCAACTTCGTATTCTTTAATAAAATTATTTAGATGAGTCATTTCAAGTGAGTGCTAACTTGCTGTGTCATAATGAATGTAATAAAATTAGTAACATCAGGTACTTATCACTGAGAGAGGCAAGGTTTACTTAGAACTGAGAACCAGCCTAAGAGAGTATTCTTTCTAAAAAGGGATGTATGATGTGAGGAGTTGAAAAAAATAGCACAGATGCCATAATAGAACAGGGAGTATATGAAGAGAGGAGAGGAGAGGAGGAGGAGGAGGACAAGAGGAGAGGAGCTTGGTTAGACTCTGCTGCATCTAAGAAACTAAGAGATTTCAAAGAGAATAAGGACAGAAGGAAAATTAAGAAATAAAATTTGGCAGAGGAGAATGTTACCAAACTAGAGAAGTGTTTCTACTTGCAACATGAGGAAGGTGGAAAGTAAGGCTACTGTGGGAGTATTACCACTGTTATGCTCTGCATCCAGCTATAGGCAGGTTTTAGTTCTGGTAGACTTAAGAGTCCTCATTAGGCACTCGTTACACATGTAGTTATTTTTTGTGTAAGGATCTTTAGTCAATGGTATACTGCAAACTGCGACAGAATGTGGTGATTCTTTATAAGGAGAACAACAGGTTTGCCAAATTCCAGCTGTTTTTTGCCTAGCTGTCTGAAGAAATGGTTGTGACAATGATTGTGATTTATAATTTGCAGTATGACAGTAGTAATAATTTTATGAACTGATTGGCAGTTTCAGCCAAATCTTACTGAGTGGTAGAAGTTGTAATAACATTATGTTTCCACAAGTTTTGTGAATAACGACAACTTGACAGAGGAAAATTATCCAGATGAGTACATCCTTTGAGGGACAGGCAGCCAAAATTCAACTATTGTACGTTTTGACAATAGTTCCCAGTCATCATATGTATAGCCAGAGTACATGTTTTCTGTCCTGCATTCCTTGGTCAGATAGGAGAGAGAAGGATATTTCTGTAGGGGAGAACTGGAGCAATTCACTGATATGCCTGTGGACACAGAGAAGACCAAGAAGAAAGCTGGAGGGGAGAGGAGGAGCATTTCTGGCCCACAGGTTTTAGGGAGGTTCTCCAAAGAATATCAGGATTCACAGAGAGATGGCAGGGAACTGGAGTTACTGTGCTGGGAGAGTGGTGGACAGTAAGAACCTGTGGAATACACCTGTATGAAAATGGACTTTATTATATTTTTTATTGTTTCAGAAAAATGTTTAAAAGGGTTGTAATCTGAAGTGTTTCCTGGCATATAACTCTGCATTGGGTTGTTATTCAGTACTTTAGTAGTATAATGTGACACAGAATTAGTACCAGAAGTGCTGAGTAAGCACTCATTTATGCTTTGTATGTTAGTGATCAGCTGAGCTCAGCCTGCATGTGTACGCATATTTTGTGTTAAATGTTCAGAATAGTATTTTTCTCTGTTTAAGAAAAAAAAAGAGAAAGGAAACAAAAAATAGACTGGAAGAGACACTGAAATGGAAAAATAGTAGGAATAGCATACATAGACAGGTGCAAGTTTACCACAAATTCTCTTTATGTATCCCTTTCCATGGCTAAATGATTTACAGCACAGCACCATTTCTCTTTGGCATAACTTATGGGAGATATTTTTCCTCCAGAAAATTATTCATACAGTACTGTGCTTTGACTTGAGTATTTAAAAGTTTTCAGAGTTCACTTGCATGTTCATAGTAAAAATTTTTTAATGTTTGTGTTAATAATGCTACCTAGACAAAGGAACAGAGTATGAAAGATAGATGCTGATTACCTGAGATTTCTAAGTTTTGCTGACTTCGGTAGCATAAACTCATAGGACTAATATTTTTTGGAAGTAACAGGCCACCTCTTCAAAACCCAGAAATATACTTAAGTTTGTCACACTTAGATATGTGCTGTTGCCATGGATACCTCCAGTTTCCAGTACTTGGTAATTCAAAGCACAAGTGATACAGGTATGCTATCACTTCTACTTGAAATGCTTTTTTTTCTACCTAGGAAGCAGGAGAACCGTATTCAAAATATTTGTTGGTTTTCATGGAATCATAGAATGTTGTGAGTTG